AATTGATATACTGATAAGGATTTTAATTTTTCTATCAACTCAATATTCGGTTCGTCAGACCTTACTATGTTGACATTTTTAAATGTCTGTATAATGAATTTAATTATTATTTATTAATAATAATTATGAGGCGTCGCAAGTTTTTACACTTTCTTTTATTATCTATCCATTCATTAAAATGTTTATTTCTAATATTTCCTTTATCTTCCCTTGATTGTTGTCGCCGGCCGCTTGTGCTGGGACTATTGTTTGAAATATATTTTATATTGTATACGTTAAGCATCTAGAACAACATGATGGTGGGGGGTGAGGTGCAATATCGAACGCTGATAAATTTTCATAATCATTATCACAGTCGTAGTCCAAGTGATTGATACTATAAGTAGGGGAAAGGTGTGGTGTCTCAAGATATACAGTTTTAGTATCTGTTGCTACTCCTAAGTTATTGTTAAAGATGTCTCCATCTTTTATATTTGCCAACTCATTCAGTTCTGATTCATTAAAACTTATTGGTAATAGAGACTCTGAAACAGCAATAAAGTTTTTATTTAATTGCTTATAAGACCCAATTTTAGAAAAGAATTTTGACATACAACATTGAATTTAAGTAAAAAAAGTAATGGCTACATAAAGTAGAGCATGTCATTATACAACAAAGTTTTGAATAACAACTCTCGAAGTAAAATGTTGTACTTATTACATACAACAATATTTTTTATTTTAATGTAAATATTAAATGTTTTATGTATTGCATACAACATTTTTAATGAACTCTCAACGACGTAAGCTATTGTAAGTAATCTATTATATATTTTAGGTGGGTACCACCACAAAAAAAGTAATAAATCAAATTAATGCCAATAAAATAATACAAAAAGGAACAGACGTAAGATATTTTGGAGATTTGAATCATGAAAACTGTTTAGTTCTACTTCTAATTTCAATGGTTGTTTAAGAGTTACTATTTTGTGTAATCGAATTATTGACCATATCACATAATCTACGCCCTCTACTTAATATAACAGAACGTTCCATTGTTATTTATTTGAATTACTTCTAATTATGTAAGTTAATACATAGAGAACGCTTCCTATATAAGCGCGATCGGTTGAGAGTCCGGCATAGTCTGTTGTATGTGACCAATACGAGATGCGAGCGCGTAATTCTTCCCGCCCCGCATCCCGCGTAAACCATTGCAAAGGTCAATCTAATGTTTTAATCCGTTCTCGTTCGAAAGTTACAACAATTTACGTGTAGCATATCCTTGAAAAAACTGTGTTTATGCTATTTTTTTCTTTTTGAATTCATTTTTTTTATATTCTACTAAGCCAGCGCTTATCTACGATCCCACCTGATGGTAAGTGGTGATGTAGCCTAAGATGGTGAAGCGCACTGACTTAACAAAAGCCTATTCACTCTTGCCTTGAAGACACCCACAATGTAATCGGATGGAAGGACAGATGCCGGCAACTTATTCCACTCCTTTGCTGTACGCATGATGAACGACGTGGCGAACTGTTTGGTTCGAATGCGTGGTAAGTCAATAACGAAAGTGTGGAGACTGGCCGAACGTCTGGTAGTCCGATGGTGGAAGAGAGAGGGGGGAATTAAATTATGCAATTCCTGCGCACACTCTCCGAAATGCATCCTGTAGAAAACCGAAAGACTGGCTACTTTACGTCTCTGTTCGAGGCTAGTAAGATTGCTTTTAACCGAATTCGGGTCACCAATAAGCCTCTTAGCACGCCTTTCCATTGAGTCCAAAGCTGCTTGGTGGCATTTTGCAGTACCAGCTCATATATGGCGGCAATACTCCATGCACGACCGGACTTGCGCTTTATATAAAGTAAGCAGCTGTTCCGGCGTGAAGTATCGCCACACACGCAAGGACTCCCAGCTTCCTTGCAGCTGCTTTGGCCTTGGACTCAATGAACCGCCCAAAGTTCAAATTTGAGGATATTTCAAGTCCTAACCACTGAAGGCGGTCGGTATATTTCAGTGATACATTTCGGAAAGAAGGAGCCAAGGTGAGCTGGCTCCTTTTTGCAGTGAAGAGACAGGCTTGTGTTTTGGAGGCATTGCACTTCACAAGATTGGCAGCGCCCCATTCGGAGACTGCCTGTAGTGTGAGATTCACACGCTCTACTATAGCTTCTCTTTCGGACTGGATTTGATCTGACTGGCCCGAGGACTGAAAATTCTAACTGAAATTCTAAATGAACTCAAAAATTTAGACACTTCCAAGGGTCCTGGTCCAGATGGCCGTCCTCCACTCTTTTTCAAATAAACTACTGAAAATAAGTATAAGCCTTTGCATAATATCTATAAAAAAGTGTTTTTCAGAGGATGTTTTTCCTATCAGGTGGAAACACGCAATTCGGTGGAATTTTTTTTTTTAAAGATTGTTGACTTGAATGCTTGTCTTTTAAGCCATGTTTCATTTATTTATTTTCAAGATTTTTGGCTTGGATGCTTGTCACTTAAGCCATGTTTTCATTTATCTCAGCATTAAATAATTATAATCCTTTATAATACTACACTGCTTTACAATATGTAGAGCGTCACATTGCGCAGCCCTTTAGCAATTTCGACGGCAACTTAAGCCAGCAGATAGTTGGCAATATTATCTCAAGGCGTCTAAGCAGATAGACACCGATCTTGAAAATATTGGTATGGCGGTAGGGATGCAACATCGCTCATAAAAAAGCGATATTAGAACCTCGATATTTTCGAAAGTGAAACATCGATTTTAAAAAAGGGTTATTATAGTATAAATGAATACATGGTTGATAATAAACCCTGGGAATGAGATGGTCGCTTCCAAGCAGTTTCTAAAATAAATTTTGTAAATATTTTGTAATCATTTTGTATTGTAAAATTTATTAAAAAAAGCCCCCCTGGGTTTCTTGCTGGTTCTTCCCAGGACAGAGGTTTTTTTCGAACCAATGGTAAAGTAAAAAATGACTTTCAATAAGAATTACGCATGTAATGTATACGATTTTTCCGGACCGATACGATTTAGGGACCTTCAAGAAAAGAGCTTACACCTTTCTAAAAGGCCGGCAACGCACCTGTGATTCCCCTGGTAAAGCGGTTGTTCATGGGCGGCGGTAGTCACTTACCATCAGGTGAGCTGCATGCTCGTTTGCCCCCTCTTCCCTAAAAAAATATTCCTTCAAATAAATTTAATTAGTGCAAAAACACGAAACAGATTTAGATATAAACAAACATGTAGCCTCTATTTTGCGTATTAAACAAGGCATTGATTAGCATGGCGATTGCATTGCATTCAAACCAACGAAAAATATATAAATATATAAAATTAATAAGAATATAGCATTTAAATGTGTATTTTTACTTTTCTTAGTTTAATACAATTATACAATGTTAAATAAAGATGGCAGTATTTAGGTATTTTTCACTATAAACGTTTGCAGGATTTTAACCAAACTAAGGCAGGATCTGTATTTTAAAGATGGTCACACTGTGAGCAAGCCCACCCATTATTATTCTTGAATAAACACTATTAGAGTATTAGATACGGTTAATTATCCTCTTCGTATTTATTCATTAATATTACTATAATACTTAAATGAAATTATTAATACGACGAGAAATTGGAATATAAAAATAGAAAAGACAGTTTGTTTCAAAAGGTAAGTTGAATTATCAATAATAATAAATAATCAGTATACTATATACAGGCTAATATTTTTTTAAAAACTAATATTCTTTCCAATGGTTTTCAAATATTTTATTGTTAGAACAACTTGCTTGGTCATCAAAACTTTAAAGTAAGCCAAAAATAACTGTAAGCTATGAAGAAAATCGTTTTGGGCCCACTAGAAATTTTAACTTAACTTAATGGTTTTACACATATAAAAGATACCAATTTATTATATTTGTATATAATATATTTATTAGTAAAGAGATACCACTGAAAACTTGTTTTAATAGGATTAAGTAGTACAAGTTTTCAGTGGTATATCTTTCTAAATGTATTTATATTAGCTAATTTAGAAATATAGTTCAAAGTGACCTTGGCACGAAACTTAAAACCCCTATTTTGTCAGTTTGTCATTGCCTACATATTTATTTCTCTATGGTTAGGGGTTTCCACTTTGAAAATACATCGATGATTTTCTTCGATGTAATGCATCGAGACTGTGTATCGACATATTCCGATGTATCTTTTTTCTTTTTTTTTTCTTTTTTTTTTTTTTAAAACGTTACCCCCACACTAGGATTTTCTCCTGTATCGTGGAGGCAGTTTACAAACAAATTTCACAAGGACAAACATCCAGACCCGGAACAATCATTTGTAGGCCATACAAATACTTGTTCCGTGCGGGATTCGAACCCGCGCCCCCCAGCGCAGCAACTCATTGCTAAGCCACTGCGCCACGGAGCCGTATCGGTTAGAAACATCGATGTTTTTCCTAATCGTGTAATTTTTCAGACTACAAATCTGTAGTCAACCTCCTGACATCCCACTCAAACAAACAACGTAGTGTAATGATATAAATGATTGCGTAAGGTTTTATAAACGCACAAGATTTTTAAATCCGATGCCTTGGCAGAGGGAAATAATCATGCGAGGCGATTCCCTTGGGTTAAATGGTCTAAGACCGAGATAGCCCAGACGATTTTTTTTATTTTCTTTAGCAGAGTTATGCCAACCAGCCGACCTCTTGAAAAAAAATTCTTGATTCCGCTTAACCCTAGAGCGGTCGCGCATATAAATATATCATAAGAGGTCGCGCGGATGACGTGTGTCATCCATTTGCCAATGATAATTTATAATAATAATACCAATATTTTGGGTGCATATTTTTATTGAAAGTAACTGACATAATATCACCTACATAACTAAACAAAAAATGAATAAAAAAGAAGGGTTTTAATTAAAATTAGGAACTTACGAACGAGTAACTATAATTTCTTTGCTTCTGAGATCAACTTTTGATATTAGCTATAATTATGAGAGACTAAAAATATTCTTAGGTATGATTTTCATAACAACTATTGCACATATAATTGCAATGGTCGGGACAAGTAAATTTCCCACATAATTGGCATGATATACGCGTGGTTTTATTACGTTTTCTTCCACACAAAAAGCAGCGACCACGCGCGCCTCCACGAGGAGAACTCGCCACTTTTTGTGGTTGTTCGTCTAATGGAATACCCAAAAAATCGCTTATTTTAAGCTTGAGGATCTTCGGTAAACAATCAGTACTCATTCTTCTACTAGCCAAAGGTTTCATCATACCCAACGCAATATCAGAAAGAAACTGTCGACGTAATACTTTTGTTAGTCCATTGTTTGCTTTGTATATGCATAAAGCATTTATGGCACTTATATTCATCAAATTAAAAAAAACCGTCAGCGGCCATCGCCGTGAGTTTCTGGCCACATCATACAAGGAACACATTTTGTCCACTAGGTCTACCCCATTCTTTGTTCGATTATAATATGTAATAATATCTGGTTTACGTTTGTCACCAGAACTCTCGTCAATACAACCATCATTATGTACAGTTGACAAAAGTAATACAACCTTATTCTTTTTTGGCACATATGAAACTAAGGTAGTGTTTTCATGAAAACCAAACAAAGACGAAAATTCAGTTCTGTTTGTAGTTGTTCGGAATGCCTTCGGTACCTCTCTTTTATCCTTTCTAATTGTACCAACGACAGTGGTTTTATTTTCAAAAAGCTTCTTAGCTGCTTCGAGAGAAGTAAACCAGTTGTCCATTGTTACGTTTCTATTTTCACCATGAATAGGTTCAGTGACTCTCAGAACTACGTCAAACCGATTATTGCTTATTTCCAAGGGACCGGGGTTACTGCCTCCATATATTTCCAAATTGTAAGTGTATGGACGTTCACAATCGACCAGGGCAAATATTTTGATCCCATATTTCGCTGGCTTGTTGGGAATGTATTGCCGAAATCGGCACCTGCCTCTGTACGCTATCAATTGTTCGTCTAAAGTCAGTTCAGAACTTGGTGTATAATGTTTTTGAAAACTTTTGACAATTTTCTGAAATAAATCACGAATAGGTGCCAACTTGTCAACCATTATCCTTTGCGCTCTCGTTGTAGGATCATCAAAACGAAGGTTTCTCATCAAAAACTTGAACCTTTGTACATTCATTGTAAGATAAACAGCTTCCATCCCGGTCCCTTTCTTAGCGTCAAACAACTGCAAGATATTTTCCCTTCCAGATTTTACACTCCCACAGAGATATAAAATGCCCATTAGTCCTTTTATTTCTAACTCATCAGTTATTTTCGCATCTCTATCCCTTGAATATTTATTTTGCTCAATTAGTATACGTTTATTTGTGGAATCCGTTATCATAGCTACAATTTCATCATCAAGAAAGAGAGACAAACAATCTAGAGAAGTAGCCTTCGTTTTCGCTATTTCTCGAGGACCTGATTGTACACGTACGATGTTGTGTTGGCGCATCAAACGTCGAGCACGAACTTGTTCCTTCAGCCATCTAGTATTGTCAACACTTTGGTAAAATAAATTTGAAAGTGGTACCTCGTCCTCATCCGTGAAAACATGTGCGGGGCTTGCGGAACTAGCAAATGTTTGGTTCAACTCAAATTCACCTAAATCATGGTCACCATCTTCTTCTGAGTCCGTATTTTCGCCCTGGACTTCTAGGTGATCCGACTCTTCGTCATCAGAACATGGAGTACCCTCTAAAATGTCCTCATCTTCCTCCAATAACCATAACTCGATTTGCTGATCTCGGTTTGCCATTTTTAGTTCTAAAATAAAAATTAAAAACAATTTTTTTAGCAAAATAGCTATAAGAAATTACTAATTTTATTAAATAAATATTATTTACTATAAAAGGTGTTATAAATATATCATAACAATTACAAAATCGATAAAAAGGTTATAAAATGTTCGTCACAAAATACTTACGTAACCGGTCGCGCGGATGACATGTGTCCTCCACCTACTAATTTGTACTTATCCTGACTCAACCGAACCACGCAAGTGCACGGCAGTAACTGACGTCACGCAGCGTACGTAGTCACGTAGAGCAATACTAAACTGGGCGCCGGCGATGTGTTGCCATATAAAAATCAAGAATTCCCGGCCATTTAGTCAGCGTGGATGACTAATGTCATCCGCGCGACCACTCTAGGGTTAAGGGACTGACAGCTGCCAACTAGCGCCTCTAATAGGTTTAATATTATAACTTCTAAACTAGAGCATGTTTTAGTTTTACTGATTTAGAAGTTTTAATATTAATATTGGTATGTAAGTATCACTGATTCGATGTTTTATGAAAATACATCGATACATCTTATTGTAAACAGCGAGTGAAATGAATTCGATGTATCGATGTATATCGAATAACCTTATCTATGGTAATTGCCTTTCGGGTCCGGGATCCTTTCTTTGTATTATAGATGAAATATATTAATTTTGTATTATTATTTATTTACTACTATACGACATTGACGATAGTTTGTGTTTGTGCAGTGTTTGTGGATTTGGATTATGGCATTGACGTTTGTCACGTTGCTGCTTTTTTGTATTTATTTGCAATTTTAAAATTGAATCTGCAAAAATTCGCAATGTTCGAAAACAATTACTATCGGAGACAGCTATAGATGAGCACCAACTGTTTTTGTGTGTGGATTTCTCACGAGGTTAGTATTTTATCTTACGGAATGCGCAAAGCTTAAGGCAGAACTGTGCAAAACCTACAGTCGATTTAAAAGTTCTAAATTTTTATGAGGAATATAATCTCTTATTTGTCACATTCGAAGGTCCAGTCTAAAAAAAATACATTGTGGAAATGAAAATTAAACATGTTCGTTTTTGATGTATTACATTTTATTTTTTTACCTTTTCTTATTATGAGATCTATACATGTTTTAAAATCTGTTTGTAAAAATACTAATAAATATAGTACCTTCATAATATTACAATTGAATTATGATAGTACATATTATTTATGACTATAATGCATATTACTAACAAATTCATACCTACAGTTATAATAAATCTAATATATGGTTATAAAACAATGAATAATTAAAAGAAATAAATATGTATGTAGTGAAATCTTTATAATATTTTAAAATTGTAGACATAGCATTGACTGTAGGAATAGACTGTGGTTGTGTACTTAATTACTTTTTGATAGCAAACAAAGAATACAATATGGTAGCAAACCAGCAAAATTAAAAAGTGTAAACTTCTTTGTTTAACAATTGATAAAGTAGGACAGAATGAGATTGAAATAAAAGTGAATATTATATAAACTATATTTGTGGTAAAGTTTGAAAAAGTTTGTATTTGAAATTGTAGTAAGTTCAATTAAAGTTTATCTGCTAAAAAGTAGGTAAGTATGTCAATGAATCAAAATAAAAATCATGAGAGAAAAATAATACAAGAGTTTGTATTTCCTCCAAAATATTTAATTACTTACAACAAATGACAAACACAGGTCTCATAACCTTATTAGTGTGTTTATAAAATTACCTACCTATTAAAGTTAAGCTAAATTAAATAAATAATAGAATCACAAAATATTTACAAAAGTACCTAGTTGTGTATGAAATTATCTGGAATTAATCAAATATCAATCGGAAAACAATGTCAAAAAAGAATATTTGTATTTTTTTCCTAGTTCGGCATGTTATTATTTATAATAAGGATAAAATATATAATAAAGAAAAAAGTAAATAAAGTGTAATAATTAGTTTTTCAGTCCACTCTTATAATATAAAATTCAATTATAAATATTATATTAAATATATAATATTATATTATAATTTATATTCCTCTTTTGGATTTCTATATCTTTGTAATAAAAATATTTCGTATTTTCATTGATTGATATTTTTATTTAAAAACTAGGCTTCTGCATCACACGTGGTATAGCCATGCTACAGCTATATTAGTAGTATAGTTGTAGCACGAATGGGTCGGCTCAACTGGGGAAGGACCACGCTCTCACAAAATACCAGCGTAAAATAGCAGCTTAACACTGCTGTGTTTTGTATGGTGAGTGTAGAGAACTGGAGACCCTTTTTACTGGAAAAGAGGCATTTCATCTTTGCCCTCACAGGTGACAACACATCTACATTTTGATTCGCAAACGATGATAGATGTAAATGTCTATGGTCAACAGCAACCACTTACCATCAGGTGGACTGTGTGCTCGTTTGTCACCCTATCTTATAAAAAAATCACTCTTTCGCTGGGGGATTCACCTTCAGCTAATCTCTCTCTCCTACCCTTCATCCTATAAAATCAATTGTAGGTTATGTACATTCTTTCAGAATTTATATCTTTTAACTTTTTTATTTTTACTGATTTTTCATTAACTTTTTTCAGGTGGACAGTTTAAAATAAATCAGTATACCTTGCAGGCTGAAAGCTTGCAGACCTCTCGGTAGGCACAACAGAATATGGAAAGACAACAGAAATATGAATATTCAATTTATAGATATTGAAAACAACAGTTTAATCTCATATCTGTTATTGTTGAAAATGTGCTTGTGATTCATAACAAAATCATAAAGACATGTTACGAGGGTGGATTGAAAAGTACTCGGCCTAACACAGATTCATTCAATTCTAAAAATCAAATCTACCCACATTATTTAGTTCAGTTCAGACTAGTTCATTGTGTGAAGTTCGAAACGTGTGCGATAATTAGTTGTGATTTTATAAATTTATTAACAAAGTAATCGGACATAATTTCCGCGAATGGAGCAAATCGAGCAGCGTGCCGTCATTAAGTACCTCCATAAGAAGGGGCTATCATCAAAAGCCATCCATGATGACATGGTCAGTACATTAGGCGATTGTGCTCTGTCATATTCATCCGTCAAAAAATGGATAGCAGAATTTAAGCGTGGTAGAGAGAGTGTGAAAGATGAACCCCGCTCTGGAAGGCCTTCGACGTCAACTACTGACGAAAATATTAAAAAAGTACTTGATTTAATAATGGGAGACCGCAGATTAAAAATTAGAGAGATAGCCGAGATTATAGGCATCTCTTATGAACGAACTCAAAACATCATTGTCAACGAGTTGGGTTTCCACAAGGTGTCTGCGAGGTGGGTTCCGCGACTGCTTTCAGTTGAACAAAAAAGGACGCGATTGACTATTTCACGCGACTGTTTGGAGTTATTTGAAGCCGATGCAGATGATTTTTTGAATCGTTTTGTTACTATGGACGAAACATGGGTTCATTACTGTACACCGGAAACAAAACAACAATCAAAACAGTGGAGAAGACCTGGTTCACCACCCCCTAAAAAGGCTAAGTCGATTTTGTCGGCAAATAAGGTGATGGCTTCAGTATTCTGGGACTCGAAAGGTGTGATTATGATTGATTATCTTGAAAGGGGTCAGAATATAAACTCTGATTACTACTGCACCTTACTACGTCGTTTACGAGAGGAAATAAAAGAAAAACGTCGAGGAATGCTCAGAAGAAAAGTCCTGTTTCATCAAGATAACGCCCGTGTTCACACGTCAGTACAGTCAATGTCTGAAATTCACAACTGTGGCTTTGAACTGTTACCGCATCCGCCGTATTCACCTGATCTGGCACCATCAGACTTCTTTCTGTTCCCTAACCTAAAAAAGCACTTGGGAGGTCAAAGATTTTCGACAAACGACGAGGTCAAAGCAGCTGTAGACGCATATTTTGACTCTAAGGAAGAATCATTTTTTTTCAACGGTTTAAATGCTTGGAAGGGGAGGTGGCAAAAGTGTATTGAACTTGATGGTGATTATGTAGAAAAATAAAAATATAACTGATTTAGTATTTGTTTATTTTCTTGGTTAGGCCGAGTACTTTTCAATCCACCCTCGTATTGTCTCTGTCATATGTCCAGTTTGAACATCTTATTTCCCCACTATTTATCAGTGTGTACTAACATAGATAAACATGTTATTACCTAGTCATTGGCTTTAATGGTGTTGGGGGTGTGGGTAATAATCTGTTAACATATTTTAAAACAAAGTACACATACTGTGCCTGTCTGTTTAACATAAATGGTGTTTAGGATGTATACTAACCAATCAATCAATACATTATGTAAACAAAGTATCCACACCACACCTGATTGTCTGTGCTACTTTGAAGTAACGAAAATAATAATGAACAATAGTAAATACAGTGATATTATGTATTGTGTTTTTTTTTTATCATAACCATTTTAAAACATGTAACTTGCTGTTTATTTATTAATGTCTAAAATCAATAATGGGTATGTTATAACCAAATAATTTTGGATTTAATGTTATTTACTGTGTATACTTGCTAACCTATCAAAAGATATTAAAACAAAGTGTTGAAATTTCGCCTGTCCGTTTGTCTTTTGTACTTTTAAGAGACTACTGCTTTGGAAATTATTACTTATAATAATAAATGCAGAGGCATTTTACTTTGTGATTTTTATCCTTACACAACCAGTATAAAACATGTTTCTCATCATCTTCATTATATAGTGTGTATATTATATAAGTGGTAATATTATATAAGTGGACATATTATTTCTTAGCCATCTTGGCTTTAATCACATTTTTTAATTACTGTAATGGTGATTGGGATTAATACTTATTAATCAATCAATATATGTAAATATTATGTAATCTAAAATAGTTTCCACACCATGTCTGTGCAGTATGTACTGTTTTTCTGGAACTACTAAAAGGATTTTCCATCAATCTTAAAATACCTATAAATGTATATGAATATATTGCTATATATAAACAAT